AGACTGCACTTGCCTATGTGTGTTCTTGTAGTCCCCAGGCAAAACAATCCTGAGGTGGGGGTTTTTCACCCTTAAACAGACCAAACTCTCCCCTTCTTTTGAAGACAGAAACCCAAAAACAGTTTTAATGTACATGCACTTTAGAATTCCATCCCCACCACTAGGGAAGGCAAGGATTTAACCATGTAGCCTGGGTCATACTGGGGATTCCTAATTAGGCAATGCAATTAGTGCTCACCTGTTTTTATTTTTTCTACTGTGTCATCTCTTCTCAGGAGACCCCAGTCTTGTGTTCACTATTTTTAATTTCCTTCATAAATGTAATATACAAGGACCTTTCCAGGGTTTCATTTTTTAATGAGAGACACTGCATTCCCCAGCATTTCACAAGGAGCTGAAATCTAGGGGAAAACATATGAAGCACACCTGTCTGTTTAAAGCCTCTCATATGGAGGACTCCTGCCTGCTTGTGTGGGACTAAGAGTAGGCTGACTTCATCATAGCTTTTACATTTGGTATGTCTGTCTTATCCAATCTTACTTTTATTTATATTTCTCAACAATAAAACTTTTTTTCAGTAATTCTGTGTTATTGATCAAACCAAGCTTATATCTCAACTGTATTAACTAAAAATGCAATCCTGCACTGGAATTTAAAACTAATGTCAACTTTCTGCTAGCTTTGTTTTGAGCTTCATCCAATTTAACTACACCATGGCTCCTTACAGTTCTATTTCAGAGATGTTTACTTCTATTAATTCAGGATTTTTTGTGGTTTTAGAGTAAGATTCTGACAGATCATCAGTGTACTTCAGTATCATATGGCTGCCATGCTCTGCAAGATATGTAATGAATTAGTACATGTAATTGTAAATAGTAGAGATGATTATAAATAATAAGGGAAAATAGCAAAATACATGAAAGCAGCAAGTAGAAGTTTAATAAAATGTTAATGACAATGGATATTTAAAATAATTAATTTACTTAATAATCAACTAAATTGATATAAATAGATAATAGTTTATCTGTTGCACTGTCTTCAGTTATAATTTTTGATTATAAAATTGATTATTTTTTGTTTCCCAATTACAGCATATATGAATAATATAAAATAGACTAGAAAAATTTGGTGGCTTCAACCTCTCATGTCCTCCACAGGATGGCAGATGTTATCTGGACAGGGTAACCTTCCTGGGGACCCACTAGTTAACAGGGACAGATCTCCTGCAGAAGGTGATTCAGGGCATGACTTTAGCTGAGGTACACGGTATTTGTCCTCAAATTTATTTTTCTTTTGCACAAATCCCTTCTTGCATTTACTCTTGTTGTTAGACAGTTAACCCATTGACTTTTCATTACAGTACTCAAGATTGCACAAAGAATGATTGCTCCTAATAAGTAAAATGCTAATTTGCCTTGGGTTTCTCATAGGGATCCTTATATCTAATTTTATTGTTTTGCTGGTTAAAACCATGACATAGGACCTTTCCATTTGTAAAGGAATTATTAGCCAGCAGGGAAAATCAGTTGTGAATTGCTCAACACAGATCCTCAAATAAAGCCCCAAATTCTGAGCTACAGAAATGTTTCCACTTACCTTTTAAATGAATATATTTGAGCATGTGTGTAAATAGGTTTTGGATTTGCTGGAGTTTTGTCCCCTTTACAGACATATTGGTAAGGTAAGGCTCACTCAGCAGACACATTTCTCTCTCTTACATATGTCTCATGCTCTCACTCTTACTGGAAGCACTGAGGAGTGCAAAAATTCAGGTCAAACTCTTGTAGGGAGGAAATTAATTCATAACTGTCACTATGTCTATGTAGAATATTGTGATTCAAGAAAATTTCAGCTCTGGAAAGTCAGCACCTAACATAATTTCATCCTTCATTGAGAAGTCCGCTACATGATGAAACTACAAGGAAGAATGACACACAGAGAAATTAACAGCATTATATTTAGTAACAGACAAGTTATAAAATGTGAAAATTTTTATATGACTGAAGGACTATTATATTCTGTAAGAGACCATTCCTTTTCTTACCATTTAGAAAAATTCTTTCTGTTGCTTATTCTCACCATGCAATAAAACCCCCCATGTGCTTCACAAGTCTGAAGTGTCAACCGGTTCCTCATAATAAATGCCTTTTTCATGGCGATGGCATTACAGGTATGACTGTAAAGCTTTCATTCATGAAATGCCATCCTTGTTAGTCTCAGTTTTTTTAGGATTTTGGGTGGGTTGTGAGGGGTTTCTTAGGGAGGGTGCTTAGCAGGGTTTAGGGGGGTTTTGTTGATTTTGTTATTGTCGGGGCTTTTGCTTTTTGTTTTGTGTGTTGGTCTGCTTTCTGGAGGGGTCGGCTTGTTAACTTGGGCACAGATGTGGGACTTGAGCAGATGGTGACAGTTCAGAAGGAAGTCCTGGTACTCTGTGATGATTCAGTTTGTGTAGTGTTTTGGCAGCTACTGCCACCCTATGGTTTTCCATAATGGATGAACACTGCAGAGCTTTAATGTGTTGCATTTCTCCAGAAACCTCTTGTAGGTCAGAGAGAAGACAATGAATATGCCTTTTGTCTTACTCCTTCTCTATGTCCCCTTTTCAGAAAAATCCCATCTGCAAAGAAAATCAAGTATGGTGTGAGAAGCCATAGGTGGCATTAGGATGGTAGAATCTTTTCCACTGCATTTACAACTATGTAATTGAATATTAATTTTGGTTCCAAGGGTTTTTGCTAACTGATTATATCTGCTTTGTCAGGATAGATTTTGCTCTCTTTTTTTTAGGAACTCCAAAATGAATATCTGGAGAAAGCCTCCAGAACCCATTTCTTAAAGAGTCTGCTGCTTTGGGAGCCTGTGTTTACATCAGGGATGCCACATATAGACAGATCTGGGTTAAAGCAATCTGGTCTAAGCAGAGTGTCCTCAGAGCATTGCTTCCAGCAGAGCTCTGCCCTCCAGACGCCAGCAAGTGCCCAGCCGAAGGCTCTGATGTGGAAAGAGTACGTTTCAGATACCATTATTCCACTCATTGCCCTTCTTCAGGCCAGGGAATACCCTTTGCGTGGAGGAAGACTTTTTTTCTTTTGAGGAAGGGGAAGAGGGATCACCTCTCATGTTGTATATCTTCTCTTTGGGGCTGGAAGCTTCTTTCCCTTTGACCAACCCAGCTCAAACCAGGCAGCAGTGTAGGCTGTAGAAAATAACTCAGCTGGCTTGGAGGCAGAGATATGGGATTCTCTCATGTAATATAGTGCACAGGCATTGGTTTCCCTCATACTGAGGGACTCTCAACTTCCATCCCCTCTGCCACACCCCACCTCACACCTATGCAGTGCACCAAGTTTGAAGTGCACCCACTGCTCTTTATTTTTCTTAGCCGACAGGGAAACCGGGTGGCCTGTCCTTAAGCCGGCTCCCAGGGCCGGCTCTGGGGCTCCCCGAGCCGGGGCCCTCACTCCCCGCCGCCGCGGTGCCCCGGCACCCCGCGCATTCCGCGCCGCGCCCGCCGGGGCTGTGCGGCGCTCCGGGACCCTCTCCCGGGGGCTGGCCAGCTCCTCTCCGCAGCCACCTGTAGCTACGGCTGATTTTCCGGCACTTCTCCGAAAAAACAGCTATTCTCAGCCCCTCTCCCTTCCCGCGTGTTTTACTTAAGTCAACCAAATGTCCATGTATCAGCAGCGGAGGTGGTGTCTTTTTCGGAAAGATGCAGTGTTTGTTTTCGCTGTCGCCTCCCTGCGCCCCCCGGGCTGGTAGCGCGGGACCGGAGGGGTGTGTCGGGCCGCCTCGGCTGCCCCTGCCCCCGCCCCGGGGCGGAGCTGCGGCCCCAAATGAGGCACGATTTCACCTTTGGGCTCGTCTTCACGGAGCGCCACTGGAATCACGGCCGTCCCGGTGCCCGGTCTCGCTGATGGCTCTGCGCTCCGCCCGCTCCCCGGTCCCAGCCCCGGCGTGGAACGGCCGCGTGCACCCTGTGGAATGAGGGGAGCGGGATCCCCGTGCGGGCGGCGGGAGCCGCTGTTCCGCCTCTCGGAGTTGAGCACGGAGGGAGGCGAAACAGCCACCTGAACGCGGAGAAACACCCGAACCGACAACAAGTAGTCTCGCCTGGCAGGGCGGCGCGGAGAGCGGCCGGGGCCGGAGCCCGCCCGGGAACAGAAGGCGCTGTCGCTGCTCCGGCAAAGGTAGCGGCGGGGCGGCGGGAGGGAGCGCGGGGCTGGAGGGGAGCGGGGGGACCCGCGGCGGCGCTGATCCCACCTGCCCTTCCCCGAGATGCGCCCTCGCCTTCGCGATTTGTCTGAGAAAGTAGCGAGCCGAGCTCCACGCAGACAGCTTTTCCCAGAGTATGCCTGCTGCCCGCGCTTATGGGGTGCACGGTATTTCTTCCCAAAAAGCAACCCTTTCCTCTCTCCCACAGTGGGGGTGGGGAGGAAAAATATTTAAGCCTTCTTTTTTCCCCCTCGTTAAGCTGTTAGGATAATAAAAGATAGATGCCCATTAAATAATTAACCGTACACTTTCTGTTCCATCAGCTCGGTTCACACAGCCCCGCGAGGGAGAAGGGGGTGGGGACGGTGGCGGATCCATACGCGGTCGAAGCAGCAGCAGTGCCATTTCGGTCGCCTGCTTCCAGGGGAAGCGGGAGGCAGCCCCGAGCTGTGCCCGGAGCGGGCAGGCGGCGCAGCCCTCCGCGGAGGAGCGTGCGGAGCAGGCCGGCGGTGGGCGGCGGGCCGGGCCGGGAGGGCTCTCCCCGGAGCGCGGGTCCGCCGGAGATCCTGGGAGGGGTCTGGGACAGGCCGTGACCGCGGGGAACGGTCCTCCCACGGTGGTGCCTGTGGGGCTTCTCCTCGATTTCTTCTGTTTGCGTTTAAGGCAGAAGCTCGTCCCCCCCGGACCTGCCGGCGACCGGCTGCCCCCCGCCCAGCGACCGGCGCGCCCCCCTCCCAATCCCCGCCGCCGCCTCCCGCGCTGTCCCCAGTCATGTCCCACCCGGAGCGATGGGGAAGCTCGAGGACAACGAGAGGGTGATCCTCAACGTGGGGGGCACGCGGCACGAGACCTACCGCAGCACCCTGAAGACCCTGCCGGGGACCCGCCTGGCTCTGCTCGCCTGCGAGTCCCAGAGCGAGTCCCCGGGCGGCGAGGAGCCACCGCCGCCCCCCAACCCGCCGCCGCCTCCGGCGGGCGGCTGCCCGGAGCCCGGCAGCGGCTGCAGCCCCCGGGGCAGCGGCGGCGCCAGCGAGTTTTTCTTCGACCGGCACCCAGGGGTCTTCGCCTATGTACTCAACTACTACCGCACCGGCAAGCTGCACTGCCCCGCCGACGTCTGCGGGCCGCTCTTCGAGGAGGAGCTGGCCTTCTGGGGCATCGACGAGACCGACGTGGAGCCCTGCTGCTGGATGACCTACCGCCAGCACCGCGACGCCGAGGAGGCCCTCGACATCTTCGAGGCACCCGACCTGCTGACGGGCGAGCCGCCCCCCGACGGCGACGACGACGACTTGGCCGCCAAGAGACTGGGCATCGAGGACGTGGGGGCGGCCGCCGAGGGCAAGGGCGGGCGCTGGCGGCGGCTGCAGCCCCGGGTCTGGGCGCTCTTCGAGGACCCTTACTCCTCCCGTGCCGCCAGGGTAAGCGCCGCCGGCCGGCGCTCCCAGAGAGGGCTGGGGAGGCCGAGGGGCTGCTGGGGTCCCCCGAACGGGAGCCGGCATCGCGGGGAAGCTCGCCCCGCTTGGGGTGTGCGTGCAGGAGTGATGCTGTGGTGGGTCACTGCAGTGGGGGGGACGTCGGTCCACGTGGGGTGGCGATGCTTGTCCCCTCCACATCTGCAGGCAATGTCAGGCAGCACGGGGGTCCCGCCGTGCCGGCATCCTTCCCGTGGGAGTGGACGGGGGTGAGGTGGAAGCTGTGCCCCGAGAAGCCTGCTAGGAAGCCATAGTCACCCCCTGGCCCGTGTGGGGGTGTGGAGGGGGTGACTCACTGGTGGACCTGTTTGTGTGTGGGTGTGAGCAGGAACAGCCCCAAGGCACCCTCATCCTCCCTGAGCCTGGAGGTGCTTTTGGGGCTCGGGCAGCTGGCCTGAGATCTTGGGATTAGGGTCAGGTGGTGACAGCGACACAGGAGAGTGACCTCAGTCCTTTCTGAGCTTTGCTCTGTCTGTGCTGGTGGGTGATCCTGGCTCAACAAAGTAAATGTGACAGAGGGTCACCCTGGCTCTTCCTCCATTGATTTCTCAGGGTGACCCTGACTGGCTCAGTGACTGAGGGTCTGGGGACAAGACAGTAAGTGATCCTACTGACTTTCTCTCACTTAGATAGGGATTTTAGATTTTTATTCTCACTACTTTACACTTTGATGACTTGGATTTTAGTTCTGTCTTTTCATTGCAGTTGTCAGTGGTGATGTGGGTTCACTCTCTAACTCAGGGCTTTGGGGTGAACAAATGGTTGTAATTCCTTTGAGAGAAACATGCAGTGGTGTCTCTCATTTAACCAGAAAAGCAACCACCAGCAAATCCTCCCTGCAATACAGGACAAAGGACTCATAACAGGAATTGTTTGATTATAAAATGGCAATAAGTATTTTGTAGTGTATTTATCAGGATTTCCACAAAGCATTCAGAGCTAAATCTCATTCTGCAGAAAGTGTGGTTATGGTGGGTATAATCTCTTAATCAGTTCCACTTACTCCGCTGGCAGTCTCATAGATGTGCATGTAAGTGTGTGGTTTAGTGACTTCAGAAAGTTCATGGAATTGTGCCCCATGGCATGCTGCAGTGTCTGCCCACTCACCCTATGAGCTTACTGAGGTAAGTTAAACAGAAAGTAAAGGTCCTCACAGTTATTACTGTCACTTGCAGAGTGCCAACATTGTTTATGTTTTTGAAGGTTGCCTACCAGTATGTCTTCCCTCAACAGCTGGCTCCAGTTGATTCTTGAAATATGTTTTTAATAAAGAATGGGTTCTGAAGAAAAGCTACCAGAAGTGTCTCTTTGCTCATCAGTGACACATCCACATCTCGCACCTCAGCTGTCTGAATCCCAAAGAAAATTTCTCTGTCAGTTACCTGACAGACTGTGGTGTATGCGGTGATTGCCCTGCAGGTTTTCTTTTACCTACTGTCTTGGGGAAAGTTGCTGACAGTGTCAAAACTGCAGCTTTTATGACAGAGAATCTTCCTGCTCAACTTTGCTGGAGAACTGAGAAGTACGGAGTAAATGTTAAATGGAAGATACCAGTAGAAATAGGAGGGCAGGCGTGCTGAATGCCCTGGAGTTGTAGTTGGGTTTTTAGCCCAGTCTTTTGCAGAGCCTGTAGGTACTTGATTTCCAAATTTTCCATCTGTTCTAGGTCATCCTGAACCATTAGTGACTTGTGTGAAGATATTTCAAGTTTGCAAAATGAATACTGTAATTAACACTGTAGTAGGAAACTGCAACACAGCAATATAAATATCTTAGAAGATAGAGTATTTACTTTTCTTAACTGCTTTTAAAGATTTCATTTTGATTTCAAACCCAGGCAGCCAGAGTAAGGCAGTGTCAGAACCATAACAACCGCATCTAAATCTATATTTTCAATTTCTGAAGATCTGTACTTGATCTTGCAGGTAGGGAGACAATTTTGAGAATTTCTGGTGAGTTTTAAAGCATTAAAGTGAATTTGTATTTAAGGACTCGCATGCACTTAGTAAGCACTCTCGAACACAGTAATTTAAGGTGATTGTAACCTTCATTTGGAACTGAGACATTATGTTTTTCCACACCTGAAACAAGAGCCCTTATTTTCTGAGTATTCTGGCAAATACACTCTTGTTTTATGTCAGTTGAGATGATGACTAACTCTAAAAACATTTGAGTGAAGTCCTGGGCTTACGGAAATCAAGACAAAACTCTGTGAACATCAATCTTTGCCTCACAGTGTTAGTTACTGACTCATACATCACTTAGATTATGGTGGGGCTGCTCAGTGGTAAACTTCCCTAAGAACTGTGGTAATTATTTTCTTTTAGCATTACTGATTTAGGTTCACTAGTGTCTTTTTTGGGAATTGTGATGTTGATAAAAATGGGATATTTTCTGTTAATGAAATGGTACTTAATATTTGTGATTTTCTTTATTCAAAAGTGTGATCTCTAAAAATAGAAATTTATAGAAATTCAAATATAAGTTGCCATGGTAACCTCTTCGGGGATAGTGCACGCACAAGATTATTCTAGCAAGACCATCCAGTGATGTTATATAAATAATGGAACTAGTTTGTTGACAAGAAGGTTTACTTTAGTCGAGATTCTAAAAAAATTCAACTTCTAGTGCGTGCAATCTGGGAGTCAGATAGCGACATCTACTAAACATGGGGCTTGTAAATATGAAATGTAATCCATGTATATATGATTGCTTTGAAACCTGCAACACTTTCCTTTGCTTCTCGAGTTCAGGAGTTAGGTCTGAATGTTATTTCTGTCTTCGTATTATCGTTTTGGATTTCATAGACCATGAAATGAAATTAAAGAGTGCAGCCGTACTCCTTTCACTCCACTCGTAATAGAATGATCATTCACAAAAGGCTGTTTGACACAATGCTGTTATGTAGATATGGAAATCTACTGGCATAAGGTGCTGTCATAGGAGGAGGAGTGCTGGGTGACTGAATCTTTGTGCGTTGGTTTAAATGTCTCTGAACCAGACACCTAATTCTTACCTGACTGAAACGTGTGCACTGTTTTGTTGGTTAATATCTGTAAGTGATTTTGGTGTCCAGTGGCTTCTAAGTACCAGGTACATGTTTGCTTCAGTGAAAAGAAAACAAAGCAACATCTAAGTGAAATTTAGTAAAAAAAACACCTAAGTGGTTCGTAAGAAAGCACAAGAGGCAATATTAAGTGCTGAATTCAAAAAGTGTCTGCAGATGTCCAGCAGGAACTGGAATGCCAGTGCTCATCTCGGATATCATATTTCAAAGTAATTACCTCTAAAGCATTTTTACTTTTGAATAATAGTTGAAAAATGATGCTGTTTAAAGAAGTAATTAGTATTTGTAATTGATTTTTCCTTGGGATTATGGATTACTCCTGTACCGAGTGCAGGAATGCAAAAACGGCCCTGAAATTCACCAGATCCGTAGCTATATATCCTTAATGTTTTGAGAAGACTGTAAATCTGTTCATAGGTAAGGGGACAGCATCTGCAATGTGAGGTAGTTAAGCAGTGCAGGACAAACCATGGCCCAGGGCACTTGAGCCCTCACTGCCGTGTGCAGCAGCTGAAGGTGATTTACACAGCCCCCTTGCTATGGTTTTTATCTCTAGGAAATATCATAATTACTTGGTTTACAGGGAAATAGAAATCCTAATTAGCAAGTATTTGTCAAGTTTGGTGTAAGTATATATTCACTGCAGTGCAAGTAGACCCACAAAAGCCTTGCAGGTCTAAGCATCAAGATACATCTTGCAAGTTTTCTTAAAAATACTGATGGTGCTTCATAATGACATGGGGAGCTGTATTTGAGCAGTGGGTGGTATTTTTGGAGGGTAATAAAGTTCCCCTTTACTGCTTTTATACGGTGTTAAATTGTCAGAGATTCCTTTCAGTGACCCATTGCATCTGCACCAGCTTTGAACATTAGGTGATGTGAAGAATCAGCTGAAATGAGTGGGATGGGAGAGGGGAAAAATACGATTTTACAGATTCCCTCGAGAGGCTAAAGATACAGAAATTTATGTTGAAGAACATTTTTATCAAAGATAACTTATGTCTTTATTTGGTGATTTGCTTATGTTTTCTCCAGGTGCCTAGATACCTGTTTTGATACCTGTCAAGAAAGCCTTGATTTAGGAAGCCTGTCATGTACTATGGTGAATGACTGAAGTGAGTTATATTTTTAGGGCTTTGCCTGTTCTGATGCAAGACAGGTTTTATTTTTGGTGGAAACAACACTGCTGCAGTCGTCTGAAATACTGTGAATGGAGTGGTGAGGTACATTAATCTCAGAATGTATGTTTGCAGATTAATAGTGAATAGCAAAGGTTTGCTTTCTTAACTGATAGAAAGCCCTTTAATACATAAATGGAAATCTTTACTCTGTCTTTTATTCGACGAGGAAAGCAGGTATATTTTAGATTTTGCCATTCAATTATTAGTTAGGCAGTCATCTGTCTGAAAATGGCACAAAGAAAATGGTTAAGGTTGATGCTTCAAAGAGGGTATTCCTTTTGTTGGTAATCAAAGCACTGCATTTATTTACAAGTGGAGAAATAGTCAATTACATTAAACTGGTGAAAAACAGTCATTCTGCTTGAAGCATTTATACTATGGGAGCTGTCTAGAAAAGACACATCAAGATGTGTTCTTAATGACAAAAGTCATAATGCATTGCCATTAAAGATATTCATAGACTCTGTAGCTTCATGTATACATGAGCTGACTAAATCACATTATAATTCTTATTAATTTACTCTGGCATGCTGGCTTTTGAAAGTCCTAATTGAAAATTCTAGCTTGACACATGATGTATAATCAACTATCTTGATCTACCCTAAGTGTAGATGGTCTCTGATGGTACTGACATATCAGTGAGGTAAAATCAGCAAGATTTCAGCCTTCCTAACTTCTACCTCTTCCTCTACAGCTGT